CCATTAGTTTATATTATTTTTCTCATCATGCGAAATCCAACCAAGAGATATCTAACACATCTCCTACAACGAGAAAAGGCAACCTTAGCTGAGGTTTTCGTCGAGCGTTAACTACGCTTTGATTTCGTAACTCGCGAATTAGTCGACGTAGTGATCGATAAGTCGAGATTGAAAAAGATTGATGGTCTCTAAAAATAAGTTCATTGATATTCAATGTTTTTTCATGATAACGGGTGCTTCAACTGCGTCGAAGTTTTGCAATGGATGTTTGGATTGGTTGATTTACGATGTGCATGAACCACGACGAGTCAAAGTATGTTTATTTATGATAAACGACATGTGTTATGAATACAATATCGAATTGTTCAAATATTATTAAAAATACAACTACGTCTTATAACACATCTAAAATAATCAGAAAAATCAATGGTTTTAGTGAAAGGTCAAAAAGTAGTATAATACAACGTTTAGTCAGACGAGGTTTAACGATGAGAATTATACAATGGTAATAAATAAATATTAGACAATTCTACTTATATTACAAATCAGTAAATTATATAGTTAGATCTTTTCACTTGAATACCAAGATAAGCCTTTTTTAAGCCAAACAAAGGCAGCCGCAGTCATTGCGGAGCTGTGCGGCAGTCAGGCGTGAAATTATCTATTTACTCGGTAATTTTGCCGAAGCTCAACCGATGGTGCTAGCGATAAATCACAGAATCAGGATAGCTAATTTAGAGACTGAAATTTCGCCTCACCCTTTTCCGGGCTGGGTCTATTAAGCCCAGCTTTGATCGTGTAAACCTCGACGCTTAGCCATTTTCAGTTTCAGGAAATCTATCATACGTTGCGATCCCACTTAATCTCTTGGAAACGATAGCACTTGAGTATTTCTTTATTTTATAAATTAAAGTCAGTAAATTTTGCAATTCTCACCATTTATTCTACTAATAAAGAAAGATTACTAAGCGTATCAAAATCATATCAGATCATTCCATTCTTTTATACCTCAATAACATTCATCACAAAGCGATTTGAATCAATTCTACGAATAAAATCAGTGCGAGAATAAAAGGTCTTCTACGTTGCCCATAAACAGGTTTTACGACGAATCACACTCCACTAATCGCGGGCACGCTAAGCTTTTTTTTTTCGAAATCACGCCATCAAGCAAATTGGCCGACTCACTTCAATCGGCTCGAAACGAAAAGCAAACTACATAGAAGAGAGAGAGAGAGAGAGCGGGAGAGAGAGACAGAGAGAGAGAGAGAGAGAGAGAGAAAAAGAGAGCATGACTTTATTTTTACGAGACACGCTCGCATGTCTATGCTGGATAGTGTTGGTTTTATGCGCCATTAAGAGGATCGTGTGTCCCCTTCTCCTATCTCTTTAGAAAGCCGGAAATCGGAAGGCGAGGCGTCAGACCTTGACTATCGAAGGGGCGTACGCGTGTGTGTAGATCGAGCTTGCATGAAAAAAGCGCGTATGTTTACGGAAGAGGAAGGTTTTCTTCGCCTCCTACACACAGAGTGTTTGCCTTTTTCCCGCGGCTTTCAGACCGATTATGACACGTCAAACGCGAACATACTAACACCTGATGTAATTGCTATAATGGTCGAAAATTTTGACTCAGCTGTTTTCGCCCTTCCGCGTTCGTTGGCTAACTATATTTTTTTACTCTGTCTGCAAGAAATGAAACATTTTTCAGCTGCATGAGTTGGCTTTATCGAGTAGATAAGCGAACAATCGTTTAGAATTCCCAACACAATGTATATATCCGCTTGGTCAAAGCACTTTATAACTTACGATCTTTACGAGCTTGAAAAGATCTGAGCGGAAAGCGAAAAAATGAGTATCGCGTGCAAGCGCAAGCGAGAGAGAGAGAGAGAGCACACTGCGACACCGAAGACAAGAATTAAATTCCCGGCTTACGTTCTTTTATCGTTTGCCACCTTTTACGATCAAACATTTTCTCAGCCGTGCGCGCGAATCTAGGCGTGCGTGACGCGCCGTAAAATTCTGCCCGCACACGACACGAGAAAAAAAAAGTATGAAATCTTTTTCATGTGTGTGTTTCCTACCGTAGATTTAGAAAAATGTAACGGGAGGACAAGAGAAAACGCGGCAGACAGACTGTTTATATTTCAAATTTAAAAGCATTCGACAATGGAAAGCTGGGAGTATTGTTGACTCGCTGGTGGATGGCGCTGAGTTTTGTAAGGGATTGGCGAGTGTTTCAGTGGCCTCCTAGATTTCGCAGTGTCTCTCTTCGTCAAATAAATTATTCCGAGAGAAGTCGCTGCTTATTTTTCATCATCTGGGGACGACGACTGAGGCTATATAAGCGATAGCGTTTTTGCGGGATTTGCAGCTCGTCTCCAAGAAAAAGGGAGATGCAAAAGCAGCCGCAAGATGGAGTGCAGCTTTCATTTTCTTATCGTGCCCTCTTGATGCGTCCTCCCTGTAAGTAAGCTTTCGTTTCTCTCTCTCTCTCTCTCTCTCTCTCTCTCTCTCTCTCTCTCTCTGCTTACGAATGATGCTTTTTAAGAAATCTCATTACTTAGCGAAACTCGCTCACCGAGTTTATCTTTATTTTGCGGATTTAAGTGTGATTGAAACTTTCTTAATCAATGCTCTAATTTTCGTTTTAATCTTCAAAAGTAAATCTTATGTTGATTACAAAGTCTTAGATTGACTCAAGTTTCTTGCGGCGAAAAAAAATGTATTTCCACGTATAATTTACGAAAGAGCAACTTGTTGACGAAAAATTATTACAGTAAATTAATCAAACGATCTAGCAATGTAAAACCAGGTGGGCTTATGCCCGTATGAGCTTTCAGCAGCGTAGTTCAATAATCGCGAACGACCGTGATTGTCAAAAGCAAAAAAGCTGATCAATTTGGCATCTTTAATAGTCGCGCCCGGGATAAAGCTTCTTTGACGAAGTGGCCTCTAGTGCAGTATATGTACCCCCATTCGCTTTGCGAAGATTTTGATTGGAAGAATGTGCGAGTTGGCGCGCTCGCTTGCTCGCTCACGCTCAAAGCAACTTTCATTCACCATTGGCGATTATCGATTTTATTCAAGTGTGCAGACGCCGACGTCGACGAAGGTTCTTTGCTTCATTTTTGGCTCTGCGCGACGTTGAGAATTAGACTGGGTAATGGGCGCGCCTCCGCCAGCAGCGTGCGCATCGACGCATGAAATCGGTTTTTCGCCACGCCGCTACACCCTATCCCGTCCATAGAAACCTCTCTCGGCTACCACCTTATTCGAGAGATTGACGAACGATGGATTTGATGATAAACCACAATTGAAAATTTCAATAAATGTGCCATACAAGTTCAATTTTTGAAAGCTTTACCAAATAAAATATCATTTGCATATTAATGTTTCTAAGCTCCAAAATATCACAAATTAAAAAAATACATTTTTTCCGTAAAAGAAAACATATTTTTAAAAGTTTTAAATATCCTAATATATAAAAAAACTGTATTTGTAAATTGAAAATAAACGCTTGAATTACAAGTTTTATATCTATTAATTAATAATTATAATCAAATAATAGAACATTAGAAGCACGCTAGATTGTTTTTCGAATTTATGAATTTAACTTTGTTTCATAAATTCTCAGAATGCGGGAATTTTACAATCATTAATACATTTAAAAAAATGGAATTCGAAAAAAACTCGAAAACATTCTTGATAATCCTACGCTGTTAAATTATAATAAAAAGATAATAAATTTGAAACATCGAAATTCTTAAAATTCAAGTGCTCTCATTGCTAACGACGACCACCCTATATATTTTCAATTCGAATTCGCAAATACAATTTGAAGCACTGTCCCGAGCGACAGGGCTTCAAATTTGAAAGGCGAGAAAACACGGCGAAAAAGCGGTAAATAAAGCAGAAAAGGCTAAAATGAAAGTAAACGATTACTTTGGACGAGAGTTTTGAGGTGAGTGGTTAAAAGACTACGAGGGGTCTTACGCGCCCAGGACAACAAATAGCGAAAAAATTGATTTGATAAGAGGAATTAATTACGAAATTAAATTTGTTACGTAATGCTTCACGTGCATGGCAATGTCTGCTCGTTGTAGCCATATTAACAAGTCTAATATATATATTTTAATATATTTAGCTTTGTTGTTTTGTACATGCAAATATTTTCCAGTTAATTCTCATCCGTAACACTAATGTAAACTGAATATAAATTTTCTGGTGATTACAGTTTGAAAACATCTAGTTGAAGCCGCGTAGTAGAACTTGCAAAATTAATTTAGCCGCAATGGTATCCCTGAAAATAAACTCCGGGTAATTAAAATAATAAGATTAAACAGCCGTATAGCCCGAACTTATTTCGTAGTGACAGAGAGAGAGAGAGAGAGAGAGAGAGAGAGAGAGAGAGAGAGAGAGAGAGAGAGAGAGAAAGAGAGATGGAGAAGGGGGAGTCGTATTCAACGTTAATCCTCAGAAAAGGCGTATGACGAGACAAAAGGCCAGGGTGGTGCAAGCAAACGTGCGCTAGTAGGGCCTAGCGGTTACGCTGAATGCGCAGTCCGCAATTTGCATTAGGGGCGAAATTTATGTCGGCGGATGCCCCCGCGTGTCCGCGATATTTCGCGCTCCCATCTCTCGTACGAGCAAAGCGCTACTTAGCCTTGCACTTATGGCACCCCAGACAGCTAATGCTCATATTCATTTGTGCGAGCCAAGCTCGTGCCCAAGCGCGCTATCTGCTCCCCGGCCTCAGCAGCACGCAGCGCGACATGGCACAGCCCGCTCACACCCATACTGCACCTTTGTCTCTTTTCTTCCGTCGAGCAGAGATCCTATCTCTTTTCACATATGTTAAGCCAACTTTGTTGAACTATGTTTTCAGTGCCCCGTTCCTTACCAGTTTCTAAATATCTACATTTGTGAATTTCGTTTGTCGTCTCAGAGCGGCGTACATACTGATATAAGAATAACATTGAATTGCTTTTTGTTTTACTTACTTTCTTGCCGTCTAATTCATGAGTGCCTTGAGCCAGTACTTTGTCTACGCTCGCTGGATCTGCAAATGTGATGAAACCAAAACCCCTGAAACAAATAAGTTCAATTTATGTAACCCAAGCCTCTCGAGCCTTCAATACAGAAAAAGACATCAATCTTGAAAAGATTCAAATGACATATACACATTTTTTAAGATGCTGAGTGAGTCATTAAACCAAATAATCAAATTATTTATATAAAATAACGGAATTTTATAAGGCTCACTTTTCAACGAAATAACTGAATGGATAAAATGAATGCACGAAAAAACATTGAAACATACAAAAGCAAAATAATAACTACGTAACGAATCAGTGTAAAAATTTTATCACATTGAACAGTTACCTTTGAAACCATAAATTATGCACAGGGAAAACGCTTTCTGTATATAATTACATTATCTTAACTATATAAAGCAAACTACTCCATTTGAAATATGTGTGCCAGCTCAAGATCCTTCAAAGCTAATCTAACTTCTAGCAATTATTTGTTTACATAATTAGAAAAATCGATAACCTTTACATCACAGATAAACTTATTAATAATCTGAAAATTTAATTAAAGAAAGTAAAAATGATTCGACAGTAAATTCGTAAGCAGTCCTATCATTAATTGTCGTTATCAAATGTAGGTAAAAAGTGAGATTGATGCTAGAGAATGCAATGCGACAGTGATTTACTTTGATTTCTACAGCTATCAAACGTAGGCATCGATGTTCACCCCTTTAACTGAAACAAATATCGGTCGACTTCGGCGAGCCGCTATAAATCTGTGGGGTGGCAGCAGTGTTGCCTGTACATAGATATATTAAAAGACGCTTTTGGCCAAGGGCTTCGCCGACCCGTGCGCGTTCAACGCAAAACGCTTTGCATTTTTCATGCCGAGTACTGCCCCCACTCTCCTGTCAGTTATTGAAAATATTTACGTGTTATTTATGGGCCACGCATGTTCCAGAAACTAAATGCGTTGTGATTTAAGCGCTCCGTGCCTTTATTTTGCAAATAGGTTTACACATTGCACCACATGTCGATGCAAACTAACTTTTTATAATCATTTATTGTAAATATCATTAGAGTTAAAAAATATTGACAGAAGATAATTGAAACAGTCTTTAAACTAAGTTTTTAATTACCGCAATATATCAGTTAATTGCCATAGGCTGCGCATATTATACTACCACAAATCATCCTACTATAGATTGTATTGAATCGCTTGTTTTTCATTAAATTCAATTATTTTTTGAGAAAATGAGATCGCCATCCAATTAAAGTTCTTGGATTTATTTAAGCCTTTTTTAATTTCGATTATATTGAGGGATTACATATCTAACAAAAGTTTGTTTTTTCTAAATAAACATTCACTAACCTACAAACTTACAACGACTTATCTTCACTCTTCAATAACAAAGTCCATAAATATATTGACATACTGTAAATTCATGCATTAATTTGAAAACTACTAAAAACTACTTCTAAAATATTTTAAGATCACGTTAATGAGTATGCACAAACAAAAAAATTATTTTGATGAATTCAATCAGCTGAAATGCTGTCTATGCGGTAACATGATGTGATTATTAGCTAATGAAGTATTGTTTTTCAAGTCTTAATAAATGTTGGCATTAATAAGTAAGTAATATTGAATCGAATCTTACTAAAGTACAATTACTATCATAAACATAAGAATATACTTGTGTTCTATAAATCACAATTAAATAAAAAACTGTTTTAGAAAAAGATTGATTACGCCTCTTATAATTTTTGCGTCAGGTTTAAGTAAGAAGAAATTCGATAGTAAAGGAAGATCACTTATATTTCATATTCGCTAAAGAAAAGCACTATCAAACATGCAAGCGAATTGATAGCCAATCAATGAGTCCACAGATCACAACGCATGATATGAACGCATTACAGTAGAATGAATAATAAATTTAAAAAAAATTAAGTATTGTTAAAAAGGCAAATTTTGAAAAGATGTTATTGAAACAAATAAGTCAAGAAACTGTTATTGATTGATTATTATTCTGCGTAGAAAAATTGGATGTCTAAAAGTATAATAGAAATGCAGGTAGCGCTCTGTTCTATAATTGATATATATTGAATTACAATGTATAATGACCGGCGTAACCGAGTCAGCGTTTTTCACTACTTATAAAGAAGAAACAAATGAACTATTTGATGGAATTTTAATATAATATGTTGAATGAAAATAACACAGACAGTGACATTGTGACAACGACGAGATAGAAATAGAAAGAAAGGAAACAAATGAAAAAGAAAAAAGAGAGAAATAAAAGGAAGAATAAGAAAAGCAAGAGAGAGAGAGAGAGAGAGAGAGAGAGAGAGAGAGAGAGAAGAGAAAGAATATAGACGTCGATTGTAATGTTGTAACGGCTTATTGTTGGAACATACCTTGGCGTGTACATGCAGCCAGTACTGTCCACCACATACGATGAGGCGGGCTCACCGCTGCTGAAATTAACACACAGAGGCCATGTTCACTTTAACGCTTTATCGCTATTCAATGCACACCACCCCCTGCACCACCTGTCTGTTTTTCTCTACAATATATATATGTACTAGATATATGTATATATGTACGTACAGCGTTGTACTGCGAAAGCGCCCGCGTAAGTGTGTATACGTTTTGGCGCGCGGCCAGTCGATTTTCGTTCCACAGAGCATTATATTCCCTTCACCCCCGTCTCCCATCGTCCCACCGACAGCGCAGTACACAGCAGAGCCTCCATGTAGAGCTACTTGATTGTGCAAATTTTCCCGAGTGCTCGCCCAGCACGAACTTTTTAATAAAGCTTTTATGCGCTGCGGCAAGTGCAGCGTAAACTTTTGAATTGCCCGGCTAATTTGAGGAGCGCTTTCGAATTCAAACGAACCACTGGCACACGCTTTATTTACTCATTCGCTTTCTCTACCAAAAATGCATCTTTTTTTTGTGCCGTCTAGATGTCCAACTACTTCTGTGCAAACAGCTATTCTATTTTTGCTCTTTTCTCCTCTCTGTGTTCAAAATAGTCATGTAATATTTATCGTTTGAACGCGTAGATTTTTGGCGCGTTTTTTTTCGACACCAAAGTTTCATAATCAAGACTTTTTTACCTCTAAGTTTCTCGTTGTACTCGCTGACTCGGTATTCAAAGTTTGAAAAACAATTATCAAATCGCATAACTCGTGGCGAGTTTCAAACCGCGATAATGCTCTGTAGAACCAAGTTTTGCTCAATTATCAAATCAGCTACAACATCCACGATAGCGCACAAATACACACACACACACATGTATCATCTAACAGTGCTAACAGGTCAGGGCGGTTCTTTTGGACAACGGCCGTTGCGAACACAACGTTCCATGCATCATTTTTTGTCTCTTTTGTCCTTCGGTATTCGGACGACGAGCGAACAAAATATAGCAGAAAAATAAAAATTCACGCGTACTCTTTCGAAATTGCATCAATTTTAGTTTGACAAAGACTCGCGCGAAAATTTACATGAATTGCGTTAAAAACGAGCAACGCGATATATTCATGGGTCGCGCTCGCTCGCGTAATTCTGGCTCGCGTTGTCACAAACAGCGAGAGAGACGACAATGAAAAAAATAGGCAAATTTGCACGAATGACAAACGAACGAACACTCTACTGTATCATCTAGGTATCCAATCAACATTAAAACAACAAACAAATACGACACAAAACACCAGCATAACATTAACTACGGAATATTTGGATTTACGGATACACGTTTCTTGTTTTATGTATGATTTATGTACGCGCGGTCAGATTGCCTCGCGTTTTGACATTATCATGTGCATGTTTGATCGATAATCGGCTTTATCTTTCTCTCGCTTTCTGTCTTTCTCCCTTTTCACGGTGCATCGAAATTAATCAATGGATAATCACCTTCCACGCCCGTCAATGCTGTTTAATATTAGGTATTCAATATTTTCATGTAATATTCATGCGCGCAATATTGCTCGAACATATCTTTTCAAATTACAGACGTCAATGCTGTATAAGATAATTCACCAAATGCACCATTAAAATATGTCATCAATATCGTTTACATGCTCCATTTTACGTAGGTATCTCCTCATGCACACATTAGAATTTTCTGTTTACTTTTGTGAAAATTATAACCAACTATTATGATCAGAAAATCTAAATTAACAGTTCGGAGGCGCGCAACTCGATGTCTGTTTTAAAAACGGAAAAAAAAGAAATAAGAACGCAGCTTTAATTCTGTCGAGCAGTGCATTGCGCGTCCTTGCGTGCAAGAGGGAGGGGAAGTGCAGGTTCTCTCATCTATAGCACACGTACGTGCTCCGTCGTCGTCGTGCTCAGGCCATTGTACGTGAATAATCTATAAAAGGCCGAGAGAGAGAGAGAGAGAGAGAGAGAGAGAGAAGCCAGTCGCCCCTTGTCTACTTGAGCACGCCGCCTCTACTTTCATTCTTCCCCTTTTCCGTCTTTAGCATCATGCAGCAGTACCGTCAACATGCGTCTCGAGGTGCACACAGGATGACACATGACGCGTGTATTTGTTTGTCATAGTCTCTCGCGCACGTGCGTTCTTTTTTCTTCCTTGACGTGCAAGCAAGTTGGCACATCCGGGCCTTTTATTGTCATGTCGCGAACGCACACAGGTAACGTGGCATTACTGCTAATAAATTGATTTCATTTTTATGAAATGTGATTTATAGGATTTAATGGTTTGATAGTAAATGAAAATAAATATTGTTTTGACGACACTGCCTGTCGTTTCGGGATCGTTTATAGTAGTCCAACTTAGTTATCATTGCGAGCACATCAGCGTAAACTGATAGAAGTTATGATAAACTGCTTGTCACAACAATATCTTTAGGAACGCGCTTCTATAGGAAGCTTATGCGTAACGATGACTAAACGTTAAAATGAGCTCCGCTTGTATTATACTTCGCGTGACACTGTAGTAATGCTTAAATTTTACAAAACCTTGGAATAATTACTTTAGTTCTAACACAACTTGATCATTTGATTGGATTCGATCACTACACGTTAGTCGATGGAATTTCGTAATATTTCAGAATAAATAGCCTTATTCTCAGCGAATTTTGAAAATTTGGAAAAGTTTCTACGTAAATGTAATGTAAATGACGTGCACATGCTAAGGTATTACTAGTGAAAAATGTACTAGTAAAATTTGAATTTGTATGAAATGTGCATATATAATCAAGAAAACAACAGTTGTGTACAAAAAATATCGTGGATTCTACAAAATGTTTAAGAATAACCAACATTAGGTTCGCGAAAATCAATTATTAATGGAAATGAAGAATGAATTATTACAGAGTAGATACAACTTAATTTATAAAAAAAGTTGCCGTGGAATTGAGAAAATCCTAGAGTTTTTTCAAGCAAAAGATAAAAAAAGAAGAATAGGAAGGCTATAATGGAAAGTACCCTGAATCTCCAATAATTCCCTTAGCCAATAGCCATCCTCCAAGCGGAAAGACTCGTTAATGAATTCCATCATCAAAACCGATAGTTCTAACGAGCATAATGAATAGCAAATCCTCATTAGAGGGGAGGGCAACCGAAAGAGCTTCTGCGACAGCGTCGTGCCGCTCTTGTCTTCCCAAGGCGCGCAGCTCTCTCCCGACTAAAAAGCAAAGCGCAAAACCAACGACGAAAAAGCTAAGGCAGGAAGCCACATTGCCCTTGAGACTTGCTGTGGATGGTTTACGGCATACGCGTTGCTTTGGTCTTCTCTCTCTCTCTCTCTCTCGCTCGCGCGCGCGCCACCCGTCTACTTTCGTCATGTTACTATCTTCATCGCTCTCACCCTTTACTCTGCGAGCTTTACCACATGCCCGACGCAGGTCAAATTTTATACTTATGTTAGTTCAATGAAAATCAAAAACTTATGAACAAATAATGTTTCAATCATTTTTCAAGTTTTACGGCATAAATGGCGTGTTAAATGTCATTTAGACAAGTTACCTCAAGAATAACTTATTTGTATAACGAGATTCCGTTTTGTGGAAAAATATAAGTCGCGCATAAGAAGAAATGGAAGAGCAAGCACGCGGCGTGGTTTAGTGCTTTTATCCTACTTATATAATCTCTTATCCTTATTATTAAGCTGAACGCGAGCTCTAAAACAGCCATTGCCACTAAGACGCCTCGCGCATCGCTGCTATTTATGCAAGCAGTCTCATCGGGCTACACGCTCGCACGAAACTTATCCTAAAGCACCGGCAGTTACTTAACTCGACAGTTACTGCAATTGCAAGCTCAAAAGGCGCACATACACAATCGGCACTGTTTTTGGCTTACACTCTCTCTAATTTCTCCAGTTTCAAGAGACAATATCCGCAGACTAAGCCTTCTCTTTTCTTTTATTTCTTTTTTTCTACGAATAAGGCGTGCTACAGTCTCACTTCATTCCACTCGGTTTCCGCGTGACTGCCTCCTTCGCCAACTGTTCGAACGTTTATTTCAAGCTTCCTCCAATGGTAATCTTCCGGAAACACTCTCTACTGCGATCTGCACTCGCTGTGACGACCTCGTTAGACTCTTTAGACTTGTATCTGTATTTAGGTGCGTTTAGATGCGTATGTATGAGCGAGCTTACAAACACGCCAAAGGATCGTTCCTAACGGCAACTTACAGAGTTCTCCATCAAATTGCTCTAACTGTTCATCTACTAAACCAAAGACAATGCTTTTTCAAAATATTTGTCTGCACTAACGTTTCATTTCAAACTTCTCTAAGCATTAGGAATATCGAGGAGAGAAATGAGCTGAGCAATCTTGACGATTGTCCCTCTGTACGTGTACTTGGCCAGCCAAAAATAAAGCTAGAGGAAAATATAGCTAATGAAAAGCATACGGTAGCGCAGTGACTAGCCTTTAGAAAATTTTTTCCACGCTACCTTATGTCGGATGCGCCCGTCCAGCTCGCATACGAGAAACGCACTCGCTTCGCTCGATAATTATTCGCGACGCCAATGGGCACCATTACCGTGAAAGCGAACCCAACGATATGCCGAGTACCTCTACTCATTCCTCTCGTATAGCTTTTTTTCCGACAACGTTCGAATGGCTACGATTAGAGGAATCGCTGTTGGGAATCAAGTGCAAGAGGAAGCAACGAAAAAAATACGAAATAAAAATAGTAGTAGAATTAATCTGGAGATTTGAATAGTAAAAATATTTGTAATGCACGAGAAAGCGAGGCGAATTGAAAGGTTAAGAGATCTAAGAGCTAAAAAGGAAGAAGAACAAGTCAGAAGGGACGAAGTGGTGGACCACCAGCAGCAAAATCAGCCTTCCAGCCTAATGACTCGGTTGAATATTTATAAAGCCCGAGGCCTGTCGGTTCACGAGCGCGCTCGGCTACATTGGCTTTTACACGCGGCAAGAGAGCGAGAGCCATGCTCCATAGACTTTCATTGTAATTGCCTTGTTCGTCTTGATTC